ATACCTTATATTTTGATGTATTTTTTGTCCTCATTCTGATCGGCATGCAATCAGTCCGCTTTGTGTTTTGGTGCGATTTTCTCGCAACTGACTAGATGACTTAAGTGGAGTGTTGTGACAAGCATTAAGTTTGACAGACGGAAAGGAGGCTTCCCGACAAGCTACATTCACACGAACTTGCATCCAAGAGGACGATAAATATCCCCTCATATCTGTGCACAAATATCAGAAGCAATATGAGTTCGGCCGAAATAATGTTCATATATTCGCTCAACTATCCACGAAAAGGAACATGACTTCAAGGGAACATGGCATTCAGTTGAAAAAAATGTTATTTTACATCTATCCGATTTGGCGACCAATAGACACAAGAGAACGTGTGATGCTCGGTAATTTTTACAGCCTCGTTTATCAGCCGCTAATGTGTGAATCGTAGTCCCCGCCTTAAAACTTCCATGCTCTTCAAATCTATTCTATATCTTGAGTTTAATGCGTGCATCATCACTGTTGAGTCTTTGGATAGTGCTTGTTATTCTTTGTTTGTCTTTCTTTTAAGTTCTTCATTGCTACATCCCACGTTGCATCTAATTCCAGTGGCAGCAAATTTGCCCTGGTGTAACGGTGATACTACTGATGGGAGAGGCGTGCGAGTAATATATTTTCTTATTGTAAATTTTCTATGCGTCTCTCGAAAAGGGAGATCACTTGCGGATTTTACGGATTCGCTTTGTAGCAATTGCTTAAACTTGAGCAACGGTCAATGAAAATCCAGGAACTTTCAGGAAAACGCGTTCAACAAAAGGTAGATGTTCAGTTTTTGTAAAAAAAGATGCGAATGAGAGTTTTGCTTCCCTGTCAAATAGTCTGTAACTGGTCAGCTGGCATTTTCCAATAAATAACTTCACAGCTAAGGCATTCTTCCTTTCACTGGTATTTGGAGGGAGCCGTTTGTCATCATTGTGATTATTACAATAATGAAGCCTAGGCACCTTCCACATTATCATAGGGTCATTATTCCACGTCTTCAATTAACCGTTGAAAAACTTACCAGTCATTGAAGAATTCCGACTTCCTCGGTAGTTCGCGTTCTTACGGGTGTAATGTCTAATGCACATGAAGGTGTACTCTTTTCGGTGCACAATAATCCTTGTTTATCGCACAGTGAACTGCAACTATGGTAAATATTGACGCGATGCTTCATACGCAAAACGTATTTCATTCTCTGGTTACCAACTATAGTGGCCACAATAAGTGGTACTTAGCGTCCAAGATATTAGTTCAGATTTATGTCGCCTTTGCCTGGGTTAAATAATCCATAACTTGCTCCGTGTGAACAGAAATTTTCTCACAAGAGCCTTGGGCTTTTGTTTGGTTACTTAGAGGATTGGCTGAGAAAATCACCTATGATTACTGCCTTTGGTCAAAGAGCAAAACATCATATACTGCTCAAATTTGTTAAAGGAGTGCAATAGTACTAATAAGACAGCCAGCTCCAAAACATAACTGGACCACACAACTGTCAATGCAATAATCTTTTTCGTTGAGACAGATTTAATTGGTTTTTCTTCACTTGCAGTTGACACATGAGACCTCTCCCTAGCATAACTCTTTTAAGCTTTATAGACAACCCGTTTTCGGGTGCACATGATACGCCTGTATGCATCAGTGTTCAATAGATCGGCTGATTCACACGTTCGTTGGCTTTCTCGTTTGGATAAGCTACTCAAGCGGCTATCCAGCTCGGGTTCACGGTATTGAGAAGGCATTAGGAAACTTGTTGTCGACGGCAATTACAATTACCATTTCAGCAATCTTTGGGCAACTTCTTACGCCGTCCATCAATACATGGACGTGCGCAACAGCTAACGCTGACCATTCTACCGGTGGGCTTTGTTGAACCACCAAAATGGTGTGAGGGTAAAAAATCTAACGTTCGTTCGACGATGTTTTGTGGCTAGAGACCTTATAAGACTAAGAAGTCCATAACTGTTGGCTACCGATGCACAGACTTGCCCCCAAGGATTAAGATTCACCTGCAGGAAACGCACTCATTTTCAGATGGATATTCCGAATTCATTTAGAAATACGAGGAAGATACCGCAGATGCTCCTTTAGCGATGAACTACTCATTATCGAGGAAAGATAATACTTTAAAATTGAGGCAGAACTTAGTAGGACTTGGTTTACTAACCTCATCTTTGGATCCAGACACACCATCTGCATGGATTCAGCTATTGCGGTCATTTGACTATATTGAAAAATGAGTGACCGCGCCAATTTCCGAACCTAGTTGCCATCAGTTGTTACTTAAAAGAGAGGACTGGGTCTCTATTTCTATTAATTTGCAGGAAAACTTTCCGTCTCGACGAAAGACAATCGTTAACAGTGCAGACATGAGCAATACTTGGTAGGTCGGCTTGTAGCCAGCAATCCAGTAAGCTGGATGTTCGTGGTTTGATGTGACGTCAGGGCATGTATTGTTGAACACAGTGGATGGTTTTAGATTTTAGGCTTCCAAATGAATCGATTGGGAATATTCGAAACCTACCGTAGAAGAAATTCTTGAATGTTTTCGCCACTATAAATAACCAATACTTATGGGCGTCTCTGGTTGCCAGAATAAATATTCCTTGTCTTTGAGTGCACTTACGTGAAACGGCTTACAAATGGACTTAAGGGTATGTAAAAACACTCTACGTCAGGTCATCAGCATTGGACAGCGACAAGTAGTCTATTCAATGAAATGTGGATGGGACTGTTGACCCTAGTTTGTCTTTAATTGATACTTCAGATTTAGCGCAATCTAAATGATGACTTTGAAAGTGACCACTGAGTTGGGTGATCGATGGACATTGTCACTAAAAATGAATTACTCGGAATCCTGAAGGGAAATGAAAGTTGAAAAAAATCGATGAAACAGTTTCTTTGCGAAAAGTTTGTAGTTGATAGGGCCTATAACAAAAACCAGATGGATAGATAGAGAGATGGAGATGGATAGAATAACCCCCTAATAAATGTGACAAAACGTTTGCCGTCACTTGATACAGACGGTTGAATTTACATTGATGCAAGTGATCATAGAATTGCTGAGGAATTTCGGCCATTAAGATGCGATTAGATTCTTTATGGAACCCAACCATTGGATGCTCGTCACGACCTCCTTGGACTAAAACTAGGAACCTCACTGAACTAACCGTAAGTTTGTTGGAAACTCTTCGATAGCC